ATAGCCCATCAGTTGAGACTGAACCAGCTGATAGTAATTTGCCTAAGTGACAGAATTGCTTTCTTATTACTAATACAGTTCAGCTGGTGTCACAGCTCTCCATGCCTTTTTGCACCTTTTTCATGTGTTCAATACTTTTTCCGTGTCATTTTTCATTATTATACATGCTTGTAATAATGACTTGTATGGACTGGATGGATTGTTACTGACATGGCAAGAATTTTATGTTAATTATACCTTTAGAAATATATTTACTCAGAAAATTGGTGACTTATTTTACTCGCTGTAAGTGTCCACTGCTTTCTGTTCAGCTTCATTTCAGAAGTTGATCTCATGGCTCTGTGTTCTGCAGTATTTGTTGGGCGTGGATGTTAAATTATGGAGAAACTCTCTTCTCACATATCCAGAATTTTGCATTGGAACATGATTCATCGTTCCAGCTGTTTTCTGAGTTGTAAGTTTTTATCTCTCCACAGTTTTCATTTCTGCCACCATTTGGTTCCCCACTATTCCAGTAGCTGAAATACAGATAAAATTATAAGGGTTAAACTCAACAGGTTAGTCAGTCTTTGGTTTTTAGTAACAAGATATTAACCAAATAATTTTGTTAATGTACTTGATGACATAAACAGACTTTATGGACAAGAAAGAGATAAAATTTTTATTTCAACCTTGTTGAAGACATTTGAGTCCCATCCACCCATCTCCATGTCCCCTCTGTCTCTGAGTCAGTCAGTCCAATCCACAAATGCTTCTTAAACTTGTTCACAAAGTTCTTTATTTAGAAAGAGAAAAATTAAATGTACACATTCAGAACTTAAAGTGATGTATCATCATTCTTTCTTCTGCACATATCTATGTTTGCACACACACAAACCTGTTCTTCTCGGCTGTTGATGATCATCAGGTCTGAACCTTTTTTAAGGCAGTCTCGTCTACTTTCTTCCCAGGATTTCTGCTCTGAAGAAATTTGGTACAAACTATCACTGAAGGCCACCCATTTTTCTTGGCAATCTGTTTAAGAAAAACAGAATAATAATTTGTGCTTGCTTTGTGATAGGTAGCATACATAGAATTAAAAGCACTTCAGTAAATATACACATGACTAAGCACAATTTATCAAGTCTTATGTAAAATCTAGATCTAAATTCCCTGAAACTGTATCTGCTGTATATGTTAAACATTTTACAATTTTGTGTTGTGTTGCCTCAGAGGGAGTGCTTTCACATCTAATAATTTGTCTCTAATAATGTTGTTCGAGTCAGCAATTGTCACTGAAAGCCACCACTTAGAGTTAGAAAGAAGTTAGAGAGAAATGATCTTTTCTCTTTTGTCCTCTTCTTGTTTTGAAGTCTTGATGGTGTTACAAGCATCACCACATCTATATTCAGCTGTGTGAGAACTGAAGAAGGCTGCAGATATAATTGGAGCTAAGAAGTCAGTTAAACATCTTTTTTTTTTTTGTCTATGCAGGTTTTAACAATCAACAAGCTATTAGAAACTGTCTAAATGTGAACATATAGAATGTTCATATTTTCACTCACATTAGATTTAGTTCAAATTGACATTACATTTACAACTTTACTTTTCAAAGGCCTTTCTCAAGATCTGTCCATCCATTCTATAGCACTTATCCTTACCTCGGCCGCGGGGGGGTTGGCATGTGTTCAGAGGCAGATTGGCAGTCTGACACAGGGCTAACACAGAGACAGACAACCATTTTCAACTACATTTACACCTATGGGGAATTTTGAATGATCATAACCCACTAGAGAATGAGTGAAACAATGCAAACATAGGGAGAACATGCAAACTCCACACACACCACACAAACCCAGGATTCCTGCCTCACCATGCTTTTTAAAAAGCTACATTTGTTAAAGTGTTAGAGAGACAAAAATGTTGATAGAGATAAATGCACGATCGTGGCTCAAGAGTTGGCAGTTTGTCTTGTAATTGGAAGGTTGCCGGTTCGAGCCCCGGCTCCGACAGTCCTGGTCAATGTGTCCTTGGGCATGACACTTCACCCGTTGCCTACTGGTGGCGCCAGTATCCGGCAGCCTGTAACAGCCTGTTCTGTTGCTTTGAGTTTGTGCTCATTGTCTCAAAAAAAATGTGAATTTTGTCACAACAAGGTGTTATTCATGCAAAAAACAAAAAGCATTTCTCATGTTTTTTTTTCTCATGGTGTCATGTTGTGATGTCCATCTTGCTGTCTCCCTTGTGTATAGTCTCCTAGCTGATTATTAATTCTGTAAATGCTGCAAACAATTCACACAATTGTGTTCTGTTTCTGTTTAATCTTTATTCTTCCTCTTTTTCCTTCAAGTTGCTTACATACGTGTTTTGTTTTATTCTATTACTACTTCTGCGAATTTGTGCAATTTTAACCATTCTACTTTCCTGCTCTATATTCTGCTGTTTCTAACTTTTACTCTTTAGAAAAAACATGCATTGTTACTGTAACCCATTCGTGTGCACTACTCCAACCAATGCTTTGTGTTCTGGCTCATAAGTAAGAGGCAGAAGACAGTTCTGGATCTCCGGGCTCTTTACTTTCAAACACTGTAATATATAGAAATACAGAAAACCATGAACTGTACGTGTTGTGCATCTGCTAAGGCCGGCCCTCCTCCAGCCATACTGGAAGGAGATTTGTAGACCTTGTAATAAATCAAATAATGTAATAAATCAAATGAAATAAATTGTTTTAGAATATCAACTTAGTCAACAAAAAGCATAAAATAAATAATATAAAATAATATACCACTGAAAGAAATCACCAAAAACACAACTTAGAAGAATAATACACAAAATAATAATTAAAAAAAAAATCAGACAAATGTTGTGTTCATTTTTGAGACAGAGGAGACCAATATGTTCTAAGTGCATTTTCTTAAATTTATTAAGCAGTTAAAGGTTCAAGCTGAAAAATGGCTAGCGTGTCTCTTTGCTCACTCAGGGGACCCAAATGAACAAAGAGCACAACACACAGACAGTAAACATCTTTACTGCGGGTCACTGAAACCGAATGAAAACATGACTGGAAGAATCAGTTGAGGGTGGCCTTATGTTTCATACCAGCTCACGTTTCTTCCTCTGCACCTCTCTGGACATCTCCTTATATAGAGATTACCCTTTTGCAGGAAACGCTCTCATTACTGTGGCAACCACCTCTTGCACTCCGGTCAGGCCTGCATACAGAGATAGGGAGGGAGAAAGGAAAAAGGGGAAAGAGAGCTTCTCTAAACCCAGAAATTTACGGCCCTGTTTCCTCCAGCAGAGTCAGTCTGAAAGTTTTGTATCTTCTAGTGCTGTCACTGTCTGCACTGGCAGGCCATGTGGAGACAGGAGGAGGACCCAAATGCAGACACAAGAAAATCTATATCTTAACAAAAGGCAAGCTGTTTATTGAAGGCTGATCAAAAAGTGCAAAACAAAGGGCAAGGTGAACCAATACGAAACTAAACACTAACCTAAACTGGTTAAACTACAATTAAACATGAAAAAAAATGGACTTTAAACACGGGAACCTGGAAACATGGTGTAAAACATAACAGACAACATTACAAAGAATGAAAAGTCACAGACTATATACAGACAGGAGGTGATCAGGGGAAGTGGAAACACATGGGCAGTGTTGGGGAGTAACAGAATACATGTACCACCATTACGTATTTAAAATACAAAATATGAGTAACTTTATTTCGTTACAGTTACCGTTTAAAAAGGTAGTATTCAGAATACTGTTACTTTGTTGAAATGCAGGGATTACACGGCGGTGTTTCCCTGTTTCATATGTTAGTCTATGCCCTCTCTATTTTTGGAAACCCAAACAAAACACGCATTAAGAGGCTCTAATGCCTGTATCTCAATCTGGTGTCTCATAACGACGTGAAGAAATATTTTTTTTAATGATTTAATATGAAGGCAATAGGCAGAGTGTTACAGGCATCGCCCTAAAGAATGTAGCCTCACGGGCAGTGTAGTCCGTGCTGCAGGGAGAATGGACTGCCATACCCGTTATGTGTCTGTGAGCGTGAGGAGGGAGAAAAAGGAGAGTAGAAAAGTACGAGCTGTCACCGACCAGAAACGGGAGATGTAAGCAGGTAAATATCATAATAACCACTGCAGCCAAAAAGAGCGCCTGATGAGCCCAGTTGTAAGTAGGCTTTAAGACTCGACTGTACACTGTGTTCGTGTTTTCCTCCAACACAATAGGTTCTGTTGGAGCAGCCTTTCAACGCCTCTCTCTGTCTCTCACCTCTCACTTTGTTGTGTGGGTCAAGAAAAGTTGACCCACACAACAAAATAAAGCTATTTTTCAGCTACGAGCCCAACAGGGAACCCGACGTATTAGCCAGAGGTCCCTTTACTATGGTTCAGAGCCACGGACCTTAAGTAACAGTAATAAATCACACAGCAATAGTACATTCACGTTGTTGTAAAAAGCATGATAATATATTAAGTAATCCAAAGTATTCAGAATACGTTACTCTCATTGAGTAACGTAACGGAATACGTTACGAAATACATTTTGGGGCATGTATTCTGTAATCTTTAGTGGAATACATTTTAAAAGTAACCTTCCCAACACTGCATATCAAAAGCTCCCAGTTCAAGGAGCTTATGCTAAGAAGATGAGAAAGAAAAAACTAGAAAAAAGAATGAAAATATAGTTATAGTATAAATATTGTTTGAAACATAATGGTGATTTTAAGAATAAGCAAGTTACAATTGTAAGTATCTTATTTTTTTGTAATAAAAAACAGTTGTACTGTTCTATTTGGCGATCGTGGCGCAAGAGTTGGGATTTCACCTTGTATTCGGAAGGTTGCCGGTTCGAGCCCCAGCTTGGGCAGTCTTGGTCGCTGTGTCCTTGGGCAAGACGCTTCATCCGTTGCCTACTGGTGGTGGTCAGAGGGCCCGGTGGCGCCAGTGTCCGGCAGCCTCGCTTCTGTCAGTGCTCCCCAGGGTGGCTGTGGCTACAATGTAGCTTGCCATCACCAGTGTGTGTGGGTGGATGACTGGATGTGTAAAGCGCTTTGGGGTCCTTAGGGACTAGTAAAGCGCTATACAAATACAGACCATTTACCATTCTATTTATCTGACTGAATCACATGAATGGTCGAATGTTATTATTGTGTGTATGTGTGTGTGTGTAGGTGGTTGTTTGTATGTCCAGTCCATGTGTTTAACGTGGGTCAGATGTCAGGAGGTAGAGTTCAGGAGTCTGACAGCTGTGGGGAAGAAGCTGTTCCGGTACCTGGTGGTCTTAGTCCGGAGGCTCCTGTAGCGCCTCCCAGAGGGCAGGAGGGTGAAGAGTCCATGTGCTGGGTGACTGGGGTCTTTGATGATTTTCCCAGCCCTTTTCAGACACCGCTTCCTGTAAATGTCCTTTATGGCAGGAAGTGGTGCTCCGGCGATGCGCTGGGCAGTTTTCACGACCCTCTGCAACGCCTTCCGGTCCGAGGCAGAGCAGTTCCCGTACTAGACTGTTATACAGTTGGTCAGGATGCTCTCGATGGTGCAGCGATAGAAGTTCACCAGGATGTCTGAGGACAGGTGGTTCTTCCTCAGAGTCCTAAAGAAGAAGAGGCGCTGGTGAGCGTTCTTGACCAGCTTGGAGCAGTTGGTCATCCAGATGAGATCCTCGGAGATGTGGACTCCCAGGAACTTGAAGCTGCTCACACGCTCCACAGCCGTCCCCTTAATGTAGATGGGTGATGTGGGTCAGCATTCCTCCTGTAGTCGATGAGCTCCTTGGTCTTCTCGGTGTTGAGCAGCAGGTTGTTTGTGTCGCACCACTCAGCCAGACGATCCACCTCCTCCCTGTAGGCGGCCTCATTGTTGTCATTGATGAGGCCAATCACCGTGGTGTCATCTGCAAACTTAATGATGGTGTTAGAACCATCGGCAGGTCTGCCGTCATGGGTGAAGAGGGAGTACAGGAAAGGGATCATCACACAGCCTTGTGGTACACCCGTGTTCATTGTGATTGTAGATGAGCAGCGGTTATCCAGCCGGACATGTTGGGGGCGGTTGGTCAGGAAGTCCAGTAACCATTTGCAGATGAGGGAACTGATGCCCAGGTCTGTCAGTTTCCTGATGAGTTGTGAGGGGAGGATTGTATTGAATGCTGAACTGAAGTCAGAGTAAGAGGTTGGTGGTCTGGCGTCATGTCTGCTTTGGTTGTGGTTGTGGGATTCCCTCGCTCAAAACGAGCATAAAAGTTGTTGAGCTCGTTGAGGAAGGAGACATCAGAGGATGTGGGGGAGGGGTTGGTGGTTGTAGTCTGTAATGGTCTGGAGTCCTTGCCACATGCGTCAGGGGTTGGAGTTGGAGAAGTGTTTTTCTACCTTCTTTTTGTAATGGTGTTTGGCTTTTTTGATACCCTTCTTTAGATTAGACCTGGCTGTACTGTAGGCATGTGCATCTCCTGACCTAAAGGCAATGTTGCAGGCCTTCAGGAGGAGACGAACATCCCAGTTCATCCAACGCTTCTGGTTGGGGTACATGGTAATCCGTTTCTGGGTGGTGACACTGTCTGTGGTTTTGGAGATGTAATCCAGTACAGATGAGGCGTACTGGTTCAAGTCTGTGTGGTTGAACGTATTCCAGTGTTTTAAATCTGCGTCTGTCCCCTCTGGCCACACTTTAATTGCCCTCACAGCAGGTTTCACACGTTGGATGAATGGACCTTGTGGACCTTGTGCACAAGAACTAATTAATGTTGAGGAATTTAAGTATTTGGGAGTGCTACTAGTCTCGAAATTATCCCTTTAAAAAAACATGTTGAAAATGTAGTGAAAAGTGTAAATGTTAATATACGGAACTTTAGACATATCCACACATCATGAACAGACACAGCAGCGATTACATTCCTGTACTCTGTGATACTGACTCATATTGAATACTGTATTACAAGTTGGTCCAATACTAGTCTCACTGCTATTGGGCCAATCGAAGTATGCAAGTGATGGCAAGCCACACATGGTAAGCTCCACACCTCACCACCAGTTAATTCACTTTAGTTTACTTTGCAGTCACTACTTTAAATGTAATTCTACTTATTATCCAATATCGTTTGTTTATTAAATAATTTTATTTTTTCATTACACCTTCTAATGTTTATATGGTGTGCACACATAGTAACACTGCAAGGTCAAAGTTCTGTTTTATGTTATATTTATACATCTTTCTTAGTTTGAGTTACCTGGGGTTTGGCTTCTCCTTCCTGGCTGGCAAAAAGTGTGGCAAAGGGAGAGCTGAAGTACCACTGACAACATGCTTCATTGCCTAGGGGGTGTTTAAAGTTTGTTTAATTGTTTTGTATTAGTTGGTTATATGGCAGCCATTTTGTTTCCCCCCTTGTGTGTCATTTGGTTTAGCTAAGCCAGTATTTAAGTTCCCCTGTGGATCATTTTGGGAAGGCAGTTTGTCTTATGTTTATTTGAGGTTTTGTTAATTGTTATCTTGATTTTAGTTTATTGAGTTGACCTCTTTTATTTTCGTCTGCCTGTTTAAGTGTTTTTTTAATCTTTGTTAAATATCTTCATATTTTTGGATCAATAAAACCCCTTTTTTTTTAATTGAACACCTGTGTCCTTTATGCCTTACTGCTTGGTTTCCTGATAATGCAACAAAAGAGCATTGAAAATATTACATAAGAAACTTTTCTCATATCACCATTTTCAAATTTTAGATAAATACAAGTTTTTAAATTGTACTAATTTCAAAATATTTAAATCTGCCTGTCTAATATGCAAAGTTATACATGGTCTGGCGCCTCCAACAATAAGTGATCTAATTAAACAAAAGTCTAGCAGTGTTGCCGGGTCTCGATTGACTCGAGCCACTGTTAAAGGTGATTGTGAATTGGCATTTAGACGGACCTCCTTTTCACAGAATGCTCTGTCATATCAGGGAGTGAGCTTCTGGAATCATCTTCCACTGTCAGTGAGGGAAAGTACAAGTCTCCCCATCTTTAAGAGTCACTTAAAAGGTTGGCTGAGGGACACACAAACACGTAATCATGTTTAATTAGTCATGCCTTACATTGGACATGAAAAAGAGTTAAATGTATTACAAAAAGGGAAACAAGTATTGTAATGGGTCAGATCAATATCAGGACAGTCAGGGCATGTATAATATTGGGGATTGTGCAATATAATTGATGTGCCTAAGGCTATAATCTGGCATATTTACATTTGTTAATATGTTCATTATGTATTTTCCCTCTTTCTAAATTAAATTAAAGTTAAATTTAAATTAAATTAAATTAAAATTAAGTTGGAGAAAAAGCAATGCAAATGAACCACACTGTGTGATGTAAGGAGCTCTCTGATTAGTGTGAGACAGGCTAACTGCCTGAATTTCTCTACGCTGACTTTTCTACACAGTGTGTTGCTTGTACAAGGGCATATAAAGATCATTACGAGTGGTCATTGCTCTGAAATTGCTGCCAGGAGGATGCATCATCTATGTAATGTGCTGAGGATTGTCTCTTTGTCAGGTCATCCCTCAGCTTCCAGGTTAGAAAAGTGTCACAGAAGTCTTTTATTCATTAATAAATTATTTATTAGTTGGTTTAATTATTTAATTATTGTTACCTAAACAAATAACATTACACGTTTTTGGATTGCAAAGCTGTTTATACAAGAAAAACAGAGTACAGCAGAGTAATAGTCTGATCCCTGCCCCCCTCAGACTGCAAGCTAAAATATCCTTTAGCATGCATTAAACAACAAAATGCTTCAACTTATTTAACAATACATTGGTTGTAAAATAAAAGAATATCAAATAAAACTTCATGTTAAATGATAGGACATATTTAGCCACAGTTTTTGTTGTGCACCTTTGCTACAAGAGAAAAAAACTTGTCACTTGTTCTGAGAGGCACAAGAGGAACTGGGGTATTACATAAGTAACTCATGGGTGGCAGAGATGTATGTGCAAGACATTTATGAGGACAGTGATAAAGTATGAACTACGCCCCCACCACATAAATGTCTTTGTGGATCTAGAGAAAGCATATTTAGGGTGCCAAGAAAGGAAATGTGGTACAGAATGAAGAAGTCAGAAGTGGAAGAGATGTTGAAACAGTCTCAAGAGAGCTCATGGGTTTTACCCATCATGAGATGTTTCTCGTGTGAAACCTGACACAGCTTTTTATAGCCCATCAGTTGGGACTGAACCAGCTGATATTAATTTGCACTAAGTGGCAGGATTAATTTCTTATTACTGGTAGAGTTCAGCTGGTGTTAAATTCATGGGTTCTGTACTTGTGTCATTGTGTAATTTTTCATTATTAGACATGACTTAATTTACAGACATCTATGGTTTGATTTCCTTGCATGTGTGGATTGGATGGGTTGTTACTGATAGATTTTTATTTCAATAATACCTTTAGAAATATGTTTACTTGGAAAATTGGTGACGTGTTCAATACTTATTTTTCCCGCTGTAAGTATCCACTGCTTTCTGTTCAGCTTCATTTCAGGAGGTCATCTCATGGCTCCGTGTTCTGCAGTATTTGTTGGGTGTGGATGTTAAGTTAAGGAGAAACTCTCTTCTCACATATCCAGAATTGTGTATTGGAACATGGTGCATCATTCCAGCTGTCTTCTGCATTGTAATTATCTATCTCTCCACAATTTTGCTGTGTGCCACCATTTGGCTCTTTATACTCCTGATTCCAGTAGCTGTAATGCAGATAAAATTATAAGAATTAAACTCAACAATTCAGTCAGTCTTTTGTTTTCAGTAAGTTATTAACCAAATTAATTTTGTTAAAGTACACAATAACACAAAAATACTTTATGGACAAGAGACAGATTTTATTTTTATTTCAACCTTGTGCTCGTTCGAGTCCCATCCACCCATTTCCATGTCCCCTCTTTCTCTGAGTCAGTCATTCCAATCCACAAATTCTTCTTGAACTGGTTCACAAAGTTCTTTTTTAGAAAGAGAGAAACTAAATGTAAGCATGCAGAACTTAAAGTGATTCATCAGTGTATCAGCTGTTTTCATTCAGTGTTTAATTCTTTGTTCTACACACATCTGTATTATGTTTGAACACACACAAACCTGTTCCTCTCGGCTGTTGATAATCATCAGGTGTGCACCTTTTTGAAGACAGTCTTGTCTGCTTTCTTGCCAGGATTTCTTCTCTGAAGACACCTGGTACAAACTATCACTGAAAATTACCCAATTTTTTCGGCAATCTGTTGAAGAAAAACAGAACAATAATTTGTGCTTGCTTTGTGATGGGAGGCATACATAGAATCACAGTTAGACCCTTTAAAGAAGGCTCATAACTGGGAGAAGCAATCAGTGGTACAAATTCAAAGCACTTCAATTAAATAAAAAAAAAACACCCAGCACGCCCCTGCGGGCGGTTTATCCTTCAAGCTCGGGTCCTCTACCAGAGGCCTGGGAGCTTGAGGGTTCTGCGCAGTATCTTAGCTGTTCCCAGGACTGCGCTCTTCTGGACAGAGATCTCCGATGTT